TTTACATTGCAATTCTTTGATTGTTTGTTTAATCTGATTGATCTCGTGTTGTAAATCTTGTAATGTAACTTCTTTTTGTTTATTTTTAAATCGTTCTAAAGTTTTGGTTAAACTTATTATAGGTTTATCAAGCTTTGGTTTAGTATCCGAATGGATTAATAAGGATTTTAATTTATCAGTATATTTTTGTTTTAATTTTGGATCGTCTAATTTACTAATAAGGTCAATAAGGGCAGATTCTTCTTGAGTGTTTTTGGTAAGAACGGTAACTTGTTTAACTGGTTTGCAACAAACGTCATTACAGCCTATATTAATGTTGTCATTAGAATCATCACTTGGGGATTGGTAATCAGATGAAGTATCAGGATGGTCAGAAGAAAAGGAACTAGTAATAGATTGATTTAATTGGAAAATTTCGTATAATTGATTTTTGGAGTTATCATCAATTTGAAGTTGATTAACTTTATCTTTTAACTTTTGTTTTTCTTTACATTTATTTGAGTAATGACCTTTTTGACCACAATTATAACAAGTAACATCTTTGGTAGATTTAGATTTTGGATGGGATTTGGATTTGTAGTATTTCTTTTTAGGTTTAGTGTAGAATTTATCATGTGATTTGGAAGGAGAATAATTCTTTTTATATTTAGATTTATATGATGATTTATGTTTAGAATATTTGTGTGATTTCCTACGAGAGGGTGCAACAGGAGGTAAACCATATTGTTCACAGAAATTGCCTAATTCATATTTAGCTTTATGTTTATCTTTATTAGCTTTTTGAGTGAGTTTAAGGTCAATACACATTTTTAACCCTTCTTTTTGAATAGTGCTGATTATATCGCCATATGTTAAATTATCATATTCAATAACACCAGTAGGTTGACTAAGAACATCTCTAATTTTGTGAGCAAATAAGCTAGGTAATCCATTAATAAATTTCTCTTTCCAGAATGATTTGGTACAATCTTCTCTTAGCATAACACGAGAGGTAAATACATCTTTATACCATCGAAAATCACTTAGGGTTGGACAGTTAAGATTACTGAGTTGATCATGTATACGAGAATATATATTGGTAGGAGTACCAATAAAATGGCAGACTATGGTATAGATTAATTGATTAATTCCGTCAGGGTGACAACATCCTATGGATTCATCAAAGATAGGTAGACCATTTTCATCAGTTTGGTTAGCATATATGATTGAGTCACGTTGTTCTTCACTAAGGTATTTTTCCCACCAGGATTTGATCATGCCAGTGAAACCGGAGGTAATTAAGGAAACAATTTCTGGTTGAGAATATTGGGGATAATTGCTGAGATAACTATTTGCTACCATAGATAAATGATTTAGTTTTTGAAGGATCTGATCTTCACTGAGACCATCAATATTCCATTCATATAATTTTTTAGCAGAAACAGAAAATTGATTACTAAGATTAGTTTCTTCAAATTGGAGATCAGGTGGAGTAGGTCGACAATACCAGTTTTTGGTAGTTTGAGGATTGACTTTGGGATAATGAATTTTATTAAGATGAGAAGATTGAAATTGTTGAGCTAATTGATTTATTTCATTATCAGTAGTGTCAGTGTCAGATTGATCGAAAACAGTGTTGGTAATAGGTTGTTGATTTAAAACAGTAATACCTTTATCTTTGGAGGTAGAAGTATCAGAGGGAGTTAATTTAGTAAATAATTGTTCAATGGCTTGGACAGTTGATTGATCATTAGTAACCAGGCTAGTTCTTTTGGAGCGATGACTAGGAAGATTTAGTAAAGGTTGATCTAAAGGTTTAATAAGTTTTGTAGATTGGCCATCTAAATTGGTTTCTAGTTTATCTAATTGTTTACCAATTGTTTTTAAACATTGATTTGTATAATTGTTTTGTTCAATAACCTTCTTGATTTCAGGGTCAGTGCCAGGTAATTTAAAAGGAGAGGCTGGAACTTCAGAACCTTGGTGATCAATGATTATGTTTTCTAAGGGAGGATGATTAGAACTAATAGAAGTATTAGGAGAAGTTTTCCATTTATGTTTAGTGATTGTGTTGATCTTGTTGTAATATTGATCCAGATAATCAAAGAGAGATAATTTAAAACCATATTGAACCATGAAATCATACCATTTTCTAGTTATTTTGGATTGTTGAGTAGAATCATATTTAGCACGATAAGGATGTCTTTTAGATCTATTTTCTTTGGATCTAAATTCAATAAGTAATTTATCTAAATCAGGAGTAAAATCTTTTTTGATTGTCATGAGTTGAGGATTTACCGGAGGTGCAAATTCTTCGAAATCAGTTTGGGTTGGAGAAGTATTTGAAGCTATTTCTTCTTCGGGAAAATGTGTGGTAGTAGTATAAACAGGTTTACTTATTTGAGAAGTTGTAGAATTATCAATCCCTTTTAGTTTATTTTGAGGAGTTTGGTTGGTTGGACCAAGATGTATTTGACTATTTTTGCGAAATAAAGGAGTATTAAATATTTCATCATCAGTTGTAATTTCTGTAGGGACACTAGAGGTACTATGTCGAGATGATTGACTTCGATTAAATTTAATTCCTACAGAACCATCATTAAGCTGCTGAATATTTTGAATATCTTGGATAGAGGATTGTTGTTGAGTATGTTTGTAATTTTCATTGACAGTAATCCATTGTTCAGGTAAATCAATATTTTGCCATTCAATCATTTGGGGAATATTAATGTTGGATTCGCCACTACTACTACTTTGGATTAATAAAGTTTTATCTTTGGGGCTTTTATGTAATGCATGAACATTTAAATTGGTTTGCATACATTTATAATGAACACGATAAATTAAAGCAATATTATGAGCTTTTTCTAACATTTCAGTGTATGAACCATGTAATTGAATATTTAATGTTAAAGCTTTGAGTATATGTGGATCACGTAAACTGAGTGTAAAATCAGGAAAACAGTTGAAATGTACGGGTCCTTTGTGAAGACCAGTTTCCATCATACCCATTAAACTATCATTGTAATTAAGAAAACGAGCATCACGTAAACATAATAAAACAGAAGTATTTTTACCAACTATAGTTAATGGATTGACACCAACTTGAATTAAACCAATATGCATAAAATCATAACCATTATCTAAATGTCGTTTGATTAATTTTGCATCAAATAATTGGCAAGTTTGTAGAGGTTTTTCTAAAGCATAAACTTGTTCAATAGTTTTAACATGGAGAGTAACTTTAAAAACATTTTGTAAAAAAGTAGTTTTATAAATTTCTTTAATTGGCAGTTTAGGTATATTCCATCCAGCATTAAATTTATCATTTTGTATTTCAACATCTTCTTCATTAATTACTAATCCTTGATTAGGTATTGAGGGCAAAGTTGTTGACCTAGAACTTACTGATGAGTTACTTCTAAAATAATCGACTCATTGTTGTGTTTAATTAATCAGTTTTAACAGATATCTTAATACATACCCTATTCTTGTCAGTTTTACCTCATACCCTAGTATGCGTACATACCCTATTCGGAAAGACCCTAAGTCCAACACGGCCTAATTCTAAGGATTACTCAGGACAGGGACGAAAGTGGGTGACTTAAACTAGGTGGATAAAACAGACTGATCTTGTGGGTGATTAAGATGAACTGAAAACAAGATTAATCAAATAAACAATAGAGAAGATTGACCAGAAGTAGCAAAGCAGTTAGAAACAGGATACAACATCACTTGGCTCTGATACATATATATATATATATATAATATAATTAATCAGTTTTACATTTAATATATATATATATATATATATTTGTAGTAGTATGTTTATAAGTACTGTAATTTAATTGTGTTTTATTCCAGACACTTCTGAAGAAGAATGCCACCATAACTAATATCCGGAAGCATCAGTTTGAATAATTTTGAATGAATTTTCAGTAGGAATACCAAGACAAGGAAGAGACTTGACATATTGTTTGACTTGTTTAACATTCTGAAAAATTCAGTCTCTTCTTGTCTTGGTATTCTCTACTGAAATTCATTCAAATTATTCAAACTGATGCTTCCGATATTTATTTTGGTGGCATCTTCTTCAGAAAGTTACTCCTCAGTCCTCTGAACAAATTGTTCGCTATCATTCTGGTGTCTAGAATAAAGCACAATTAATTTCATGGTTCAACATTTAATATATATATTATATATAATTTATTAGTAGTATGTTTTTTGATAAGGTGAATTATATTTATTATTTTTTTTTTCCAAATTTTCAATTTTATTTTTTATTTTTCATATTTGTCTAATAGAGTGTAATGTAAATATATAATTTTTTAAGAAACAGTTGAAAAAAAGTCACAAAAGATAAAAAAATACAAAAAAAATCACTAATTTATATCCAAACAATACCTACAAACTTGGAAGAAAAGTTAGTTGAGATTTTTTAAATAGTATGTCACTATTGGAGCATCATCGCTATAATTTGAAAACTTACTATTATTTATTTCAATTTATTATTAACAAAGAAAAATGTTTGAGATCCCTTTTGGAGAGACCTCCCACCACCCTTAGGTAATGTGGACCAATGATGTACTTGTATTTTTTTTTATTTTTCATTTTTTCTCTTTCTTACTATCAATCACAAGTGAGTAGGAATTATGAGATAATGTTTGTGGGGATCTAAATCATTATGTATAACAAATACCATTGAAGATACTCTTAAACCCATTTATAGAGTTTTAGTTGAAACACCACTACAAATTATTACATTATTTTTTTAACTTTTCTAATATTTATATTTTATAAAAATTAATTAAAATAATTCATTCTCAAACAAAATCTCATACTACAAAAAAAAAAACATTATCATCAGCTCAGTATTTTATTCCGAACAAATAGATAACAAAACTTCAAACTAAAACATTCATCTCTCATCTCTACTCTAGAGTAGTCATCCGGCATCTTTTCCGACGACTTTCCGGCGAGCTTGTTCCGAGTCCACGACGATGACGAGAACAGTATAGAAGAACAACAATCGGCGATGATGTCAGTCTCGTTCTCCTCCTCCTCCGACTGCTTCTCCGACGACCTACTTTGCGGCGAGGACTCCTCCGAAATCTTATCGGACGACTCGCCGGAATGCTACTACCTCGAATCGCCGGCCGATATCGAAGAATCCATCGCCGGATTCATCGAAGACGAGAGGAACTACGTGCCTGGAATCGACTATCTCGAAAGGTTTCAATCTCAGCCGTTGGATGCTTCGGCTCGAGCAAGATCTGTTGCTTGGATTCTCAAGGTATTCAATACTCAACTCTCTCATCTCATCTCATCTCATCATCTTCTTCTTACTCAGAGTTCGACTTATTACACTGATGCCACCGGATCGTTACTCACCCGGCGCATTTTAGTATGCGGCGGAGGTTATGGTGGAGACCAATGACGTGGTTTGCAACCGTCCGATCATCATCGGCAATGCATATCAGAGGCGCTGTATACATTTTCCTTAATATTCCGATAATGACACCGGATCATTACTCACCCGGCGCAAATATAGCATGCGGCGGCTGGTTATTTGAGACCGACAACGTGACTTCCAAACCGTTCGATCATCGGCGATGCGTTCTTTGATTGTATCGGCGAGTTATGTTAACGTTACATGGAGGTGACAGACAGTTTTTTATTCTTTGGCAGGTGCAAGCTTACTATGGATTCCAGCCGTTAACGGCGTATCTCTCCGTCAACTACTTAGATCGTTTCATGTATTCTCGCCGTCTGCCGGTAATTTTTCGTCAAATATACCAAAAAAATTGTTTTTCTTTCTAAAAAAAGTTTTTCAATAACTTTATTTGTATTTTCTGTCATACGTATGCTGTTATTAAGTGGAGAAACACTGTTTTTTAAAGTAATTTTACATATTTTGAATTTGAAAGAATTTAATATATTATATATATATATATATATTATTATACATATATATATTTTACACGGTTTGCGAGATTAATGATAATTTTTAAAAAGGTGGTGATAGAGCTCTAAAAAAGAGTTTTAAATTAAATTCTACTTATGTGACAATAAAAAAAAATTAAAAAATAAAAATAAAAAATTAGAAGCCGAAAACTTTACATCAATGATGGATTCCACTTATTAGAACTGATTTAAAGCTCTTGGTTTAGAGCTCTTAAATTTTTTATTTTTAAAAAATTGCATATAGTGTGATACATAATAGCTTTGGATTAATAATAAAATAAAGTTAGATAATCATATTTTGTGTCATATTAGTTACTATTTGATTTGGCACTCTTACAATCGTGAATATTATAAGTTTCGGTAATGTTACGGACTAAGAATATAAACATCAAAAAATATTTTAAGAAAAACAAAAAAATAATTAACAATTGTTAGTTCTTTAGTTGAAGTTCTTCGGCATGATATTATTGACAATGTTTAAAAGTTTGATTAACCAATGAATGGCTAATGAGTAACAAAATATAAATTAATTATATATCATTTATGACATATTTTTATAATAATTGTATTTAAAATACATATTATTTTAAATTTCTAATAGTTAATTATTATAAATGAGTCAGATTAAATTATATGCCAAATTTGGTAAAAAAAACTGGGTAATGTTGTATAAAAAAAAATTAGACAAAGAATTTGTAATGAGTGATTGTGACAGAATAATCCTTTTCACTTTTTTCCACATGTCTTTTCATGTAAGATTAGGTATTGTTGATTAAAATTGTTGACTTTTCAAATGATTATGAAAAGGATTTAAGTAATGACTTTTGAATGTACTGCACTCGTTTAGCATAATGGTCTTGATTAAAATAAATATAAAAAAATAAAATAAATTAAAAAATTAATAAGATAAAATATTATATTTAAATTATAATTATTTTATTTTATTTTTTCTTTTATAAAAGTAAAAAATTAAAAAATTCATTCCAAATAAATTTTTTAATTCTAAATAAAATAATAAAAAATTAAGAAGTCGAAAAACTAAAATAGACCCAACCCTTTGTTAGTATAATCTATCCCAGTAAATGCCTACTGTTGTTGGTGTATATTCCGTTCTAAAGAGGCATGAGATTGACTGCACTACCCAACATATGATTAACATTTAGGGTTATTTTGATAAAATAGTTAAAAGTTATTTTTTTAATTTTTAGTTTATTTTGGGTTATATTATTTTTATATTTTTACATATTTTATTTAAAAAAATAAAAAAGTTAAAAAGTTAGTTTTTAACCATCTTTTCAAAATATCCCATAATATTGAATAATGATATATGTATCAATTGTATATTAATTTGTGTACTAACATGATGTGACATAATATTTTAGAGATTTTGAATATTTATAATTGTATAAATAGATATGATCAATAATAATGTCATAATATAATGTTGGTACACTAATTGATACTTATAACACCATCATTTAATTTTTCAATTTGATTGCATAAATTAATGACCTGATTCAACAGACCCCTTCCTCACCAAGTACTAATTTCGGGTCATAATACCTATGTCGTTAATAAACATGCTACGGAATGAAAATAGTATTGCAAGACAGTAAAGCTTTAAAAATGTTTGTCTAAGTTCTGGTTTGGAGATTAAGGGGTTTGTTTGGCGTGTCCTAAATAAGTGCACTTTTTTCTTTTTGGACTAAAAAGTGAAGGAAAAAATATGGATTTTGGGTTAACTTTTTAACTTTTTATGAAAAAAATGTAATAAAAAATTGTAAAAATTGGTTTGTAGGGAAAAATTAGGATTGAGAATTGTGCAGCCGTAATTGTTGACTTTTTGGTGAATAGTGTTAACTTTTTAACTTTTTGAAGTACTTTTTAACTTTTTAGATTTTTTTCATACATACCCAAACTTGGCCTAAATATTTAATAAAAAAAAGTTAAAAGATTATTATAAATTGTTAAATTACTCTTTTATTTTTTTAAATATTTTTTAATAAAAAATTAAAAAATTATTAAAATAATATGTTTTTAAACAAGACA